CGGGGTGGGGCCTGTTACAGGGGTGGGGGGAGCCTGGGGTGGTTGGGGTCTTGTGCCCCCCCACCCCATCCCTCAGCCTTGGGTAGGGACTTACCTTGGAACTAACAGGGCTTCTTCCCCATCTCTGTGCAGGGCAGTGCAAGGGCACAGCTTCCTCTGCAGCGCCGAGCTGCCTTCTGCCTCCCTGGCATTGATCGCCCCTCTCATCAGGACGCTGACACTGTGATACAGCCCTGAGGCTTCCCTTCCCTTCTGCTAGTGGCATCTGAGACAGCGCATCCAGCTTTGGCCGTGCCGTGTGAACCAGGGCCCCGCTTCCCGGCCTGCCCCCGATCCTTTCTCAGGGACACCCCGCACTGGTGAAGATGGAAGAGAAGGAGCGGTGTGGCAAACTCCAGCTGCTCTGACCCTAAGGAGATTCAAAGCTTTCGATACTTTTTTTGAGGGGGGGTGGGGGTGGGGAGGGAAACACCCCCAGAGGGCATTTTATGGGGAGCAGGGGAAGAAAGGGGGAAAACATTCCAGATCTTCACGTGATTTTTGCACCCGGCCGTCGGAGACGATTGCTGAATAAACTGAAGCCGAGAGTTGCAGGGGGTGTTACCAGCTGGAAACTGGATTAGAGTGCAAAAGAGGAGAACAGTGGGCTGCTGTTTTGGTTGCAGGGGTAGAAACTTCAAACCTCTTTATTCCTTACCATCTTCCTCCTCAACTGCCCTATGAGAAAATGAGTTGCGTGCCATGGAAAGGTGACAAAACCAAATCAGAATCACCAGAGCCGCCCCCGCTGGCCCCACTGCGTATATACCATGAGAAGCAGCGCAGAGAGCTGTGTGCCCTCCATGCCCTCAATAATGTCTTCCAGGACAGCAATGCCTTCACCCGGGAAACACTGCAGGAGATTTTCCAGAGGTAGGGTGGACTGTTAGCATTGCTTCACCTTTGCTCTTTTTTATCCTCCCATCCTTGGTGAGGTAGCAGGGAAGAGAAGGATTTTGTCTGGAATCCAACAGTGGTGAGGACATGGCTGCTTTTCTCTTGTGTCACTAAGACTCCTGTATCAGTGATGCAAAAGTCTTTACCTTCTCTTTCCCCTTTCCAGTCCATCCAACTGTCCTGGCTGCCAATTTGGGAAGTGAGGGCTTGATTATGGACATCCCTATGTGATAGGTCTGCACCATGTCTCTTGCCTCCTACCTGCCTTTCAGTGTGTCTACTTGTCTCCCAAATTTTGCCTCTTATCTTTCTCCCATAGAAAGTGTATTATTCCTATCAAGTTAGTCTAAATAACTTGGGTCATGTGATTGGCCTGGGAGAGGAGAGGAAATAGATTTTTTTTGATGTAATGTGGTCCAAAAACCTCAATAGCTGCAGTTTAGAGTTTGTGTCTTTCCCAGGCTGTTGTCTGATCAAAAGTTTGACCTTCTGTGTTCACCCAGATTTATGAATGAACATCTTCAAGTACTGCCTCTGTGATTTTTCACACAAAAAGGCTTTGTGTACTCTGGCAAGCTGGACCTCAGTTATGTAGCTAGATCTGTGTGTCCTGTAACACTGATGGAAATTCTGCAGCAGCTTCAGCTGTTTTTTTGTAAAGGGTTTTTTTACTGAATGAAATGAAAATGAATACTCCAGTTAGCTTTTGTTGTGCTGTGAAACCAAAATAGTTTTGTGCTGTTTCCACATTTTCATGGATTTACTTCTGTGAAAATTTCTTAAGACCCTTCACTGATGGAGCCAAGGCAACAGATACTAGCCATTGTAGTCATCACAGATGCTTCTCATTTAGGCTGTTACCAGAATTTGACATGGCTATGTCTTTGACAAAAGTGGGAAGCTAGACTGCATGTAAGCGTTCCGGAACTTTGTGTTCCCAGGCCAGCTATAATATCTTTCCTGTCATTGATCAAGATTTCTATAGCTCCTAAGTGCTAAAGGACAACAGAGTAATAGCGGACAAAAACTCAGTCATAGAAGGATTTCTGTTAAACTGAAGCAAAACAGTCCTTTCTGATTACCAGTCATAAGTAATGATGGCTCAGTCAACCTGCTTGACTTGATATGGGTGAGAGCCTATTGGTAGATTAGTATGAGACTTCTACAAGAGATCCATTGACATTTTCTGATCTCTTCATCAAGATGGATGAATTTGTCATGCATCCTGATTCAGAATCACTTTGCTCTGAAGCTTTCATGGTGATTGGACCGAACAAGTACAGAAAACGCGTGTCAAAATATTTTTATCACAAATGGATTAGGTTTTGCTGATGGTTATTGAGTATGAGCTTCTGCCTGTATTAGACCTCCCATGTCCTGGGATTCTTTACCAGACTTTGTATCTTTCCACAGGAAGTTAGATTGCATATTCTGGCGATGCTTTTGGCTGCATCTTCTCCGCAGTATCAGTGGTCTGGCCTCTGTGTGGCAACCTGATTAGTCAGGACTTCAGGGTCTTCAGGACTTCCTTCATTAAAAGCTTTTGCATATCAGTGACATAATACCAGAATGCATCTGCTGTAGAAGTGTTATCAGGAATTCTTTGCATATGTTTACAAGACCCTACTTTCCCAGCTTAGTAGGTAGGCCTTGTACTCACTTGGGAAGGACTGCTCTGCATTCCTTGGATGATTAGACCTCCTCAGTTCATTTTCCTAGGGGTTGTACCATTCATTGAAGCTAACACAGGTAGGAATATATAGAGGAAATTCTTAAAAAGGAAATGTACAGATCTTTGTTTGTGTACATTCATGCCTGCCCTCCCTTTTTTCCTCTGATTTCTATTGCTCTAGGACTCTAAGGTTATTGGGAAGAGCCAGCATGGTTACAGCGTTACAGCTCTTTATGGAACTTGTCTCTAAATGGCTTGTACAACCACAGTGGGTATTGTTTACCTAAAAGACTTTTGTAGTTGAGCAGTGCCAGTGTGAGTGCCCCATACGTGTCAATATGCAGAGACAGCATCCTTGAAGAGTTAGTTAGTGGTGAGTAACCGTCCAGCACATCTAAGGAAGTTGTGGGCAGCTATCTATTATGTGGACCTTTTTTGCGACTAGTTTGGGGCCTGTTTCTTCCTGTGCATGGTACCACCTCTTTTGGGACAGTGGGATGCTGGCCAGGCTCAAGTGCAGTTTGACTCTTGCTCAAAAGCACACCAGTGGATACTAACAGCCTCTCCCATTATTGCTCTGTTTCAAATGTCTATTTCCCCTTCTACAGAAAGATAACTATCAGGCTGGATTGTTCCAGTGCACTCTGCTGCACCTGCCTTGACCACTTAGAAATTTTACCAGGTGCAAAATGTTGGGCACAACTTCCCCCTTGAAGTTGTGCTCAACAGTTGATGGGACCCAGTTACTTGAAGAGCTGCCTCTCCTCTCCTCTCCTTTTGTCAAGTCTTTCACTTTGCCAGAGATGGAATGCACTAGGTCAGTGGAGGCCAACCTTTTTGGCAGGGGTGCCGCAAAGTAGCCCTCTTCCCTCCCTAAGTGCCACTTCAGTCTGCTTTGCTTGCTCAATATGCTGTTCTTTATTTTTTTTTATCAGCCCTGTGCTTCCTAGCTGATCTGTTCCTCTGCTTGCTTTCTTCTGTATCTGCCACTGCACACAAGTTCAAAGGAGTTCAGTTTCAAAGATTTTTCATAATAGCTGGCTGGGGAGGGGGCAAGCTGTATACCACATACACAGGCTATCTGTGGCTCAAGTTGGCCACCCCTGCATTAGGTCCATACATTTTCACTAGGCTTCTTTTGCAAGCACAACTTACCCTATGCAGCTGTTCAGCAGCCTTCAGAGTAGTGTGATGGACTGGGGTATCTCTGTTTCTCAACACTGTGGGAGAGGTGCAGGCACTCACTGAGTAATCTGGGAGGTAGGTAGAGCGACAATATTAGCAGTAACCTTTGGTTGCTAGAGGTATGTCATCAAACTTGACTTTTTTTCTTCAGTTTGGCCTCTACTGATTTTGCTGTTTTGCTCCAATTTCCTCCCAACTCTTTATCTCATGGTCATGCTGCAGTTCAACTTGCCCCTCACGGCTTTATCTTCTTCCTTGAATGTCTCTGTTCCTTCTTTCCTGCTAAGTCATCCCTTCCTGCTTTCCCTCCATTGCAAAAAAGCCTGAATATTTCTCAACTATCACTCTAACTGCTCTGCTTCTTTGACATATCCTTTTCCTTCACTTGTTTGCTTTGTCATCTGAGATTGTAAGCTCTGGTGCAGAGATCTGTGTCTTTGGACACAGCATAGTGCAGTGATTGCACCAGTGTATAGCATCTAGGCATGCTTCTGGGCAGATGTTTTAATGACAGTGATCTACCAGACTGCAGACTTAGCTATTATAATAACATGTTTGACTGTTACATACTTTTCTTTAAGCATTTTGGAACTTACTAAAACAATGGTGAGAATTAAATGTAAAACCACTCTTCGCTAAACGAAACCTGACCTGCATCTACATCACGCTGGATACTGTGATTTCCTCTGTTCTCATGAGTTTAGTGGGTTCAGATCCAGTGTAATACCTTAGCACCTCTGGGAAGTTTCCTATCTCATGTGGCTAAATAGTGCATTAATAATATTTGGGTCAGGGCAGAACCAATACCCTGTCATTTTCGCTGCCTGAGGGGTAAAAGAATAGTTCCAATCAAAAATGTCTTGCTTGGCCAACTGATTGGAATTTCCAACTGATAAAGAATGAATGGGAGGGTACTGAGGGGTCCTCTTAGATAGGCACCTTTCAGCATTGAACTGAGCTTAAAAATCAAACTGCCTGAGTATGGATACAGCAACTGTAGCCACTCCCACAGGGCTACAGATACTTCTACTGCATGTGGCTGGAGTACTGGCATAATGAACACCAGCAACAACACTCTTTTGCTTTGTGTTTGCAGATTGTCTCCCAACACTATGGTGACACCACACAAGAAGAGCATGCTGGGGAATGGAAACTATGATGTGAACGTCATCATGGCAGCGCTTCAGACCAAAGGCTATGAAGCAGTTTGGTGGGACAAGCGCAGGTACAAGAACTGGGATGAAGTATCTGGGGAAGCATTTCATTTCTATGGTACAGGAGATGACTGCTTCCTGTTGGGATTTAAAAGAAAAGGAAGCAAGTGAAGTGACTAAGCAAAATGTGATCACCATCTTTGCTCTCTCTTCTTGTTCAGGGACGTTAATGTCATTGCTCTCTCTAATGTGATGGGCTTTATCATGAATCTGCCCTCCAGCCTCTGCTGGGGTCCCTTGAAACTCCCCCTAAAACGACAGCATTGGATCTGCGTCCGGGAGGTGGGAGGCACCTACTACAACCTCGACTCCAAACTCAAGGTGCCTGAGTGGATTGGAGGTGAAAGTGAGCTCAGGTGGGTACATCTCTATCCTAATCCTCACCCCCAGCCCCTACTACAGATGGAACATCTGTCATGAAGCATTAGGTGTCCTATATAACTTAGTTCATGTTTTGCCATCCCTATGGATAAGTGTGAATTCTGATAGCAGTAGCTGAAGAAGGGGAGTAAAATTCGTTCTTCCCTTCCTGGATCTTACCCCATGAAATCCATTTTTGTGAGGCTAGGAAAATA